CGGCGGCGGCGGCCCCCCCTCCCCACCCGAACATCAGGGCCCTCCAGACCCAGGCGCCCCAACAGTATCCTTTTCACCTCTGCCATCCCGGGGAGGACCCTTTATGCCGGCCGGCATAGCCTAGCCAGGGAAGCCTCCCCCGATCCATGCCTTGGAATACACGGGGAGCAGCCTTGCGGGGGACCCCAGAACCCTCTGCATCACGGTGAACACCACCTCCACTGGGCCATGCGTCTGCAGCCTTTCCCTTTTGGATCTGGGGGACGACCCTGCTCTTGTACCCCCTTCCCTTTATTGAGCAGAATTTGCTGGCGCTTGGGATCAGCCTTGCAGGGAAGGCTTTTTCTCTGATGGCAGGATCACACCCTTCTACCTACCCCCCCCCCCGCAGCTCTCCCCTCCCTCCCATCAGCCGGGCTTCCTGGCCTCTCTAATTATTATTTATGATACATAGTAAACTTTACTGGTAAATTTCCTGTTCCAAACTAATCCGCTGGTTCCCGAGGTAAGTTGGGTTTTCAGTCCACGGTACAAGTGTACAGATAAACATTCCCTCTGGCTAATGTTTTTCAGCAATTGGGAGAGTTGTGGTTTGTGGTAGAACGCCGGGCTGTGGAGGAAATGTTACACTTGGACACTTCCCTGTCTTTGACCTTTTTTTAAAGGAAGAGGAAGTTAACTCACATTACCCATCACCCCCAGACGTCTCACTTCTTGGAAGCCCTGTGTTAATGCTATTTTTCAGGAGTTTATTTTGCTCTTGGTAGGCCCGAAGTCTGGAGGGTACGTGGGCTCCAGAAGTCTAGTTTTGAATGTGTCTAATTTCATGCTCCTTGCTTGGTTGTAGAAGTTTGGACAGCTTTGATTGGAAAAGTCTTGTGACCAGTGAGAGTTCTTGACTCCCTTGGAGATTCAGAGATTCAGTGCTGTTTCATCAGGCACTCCTCCCCGCACCCTTTGTACTCGTGAAAATCAATAAATGATCATTGGGTGTCAGATGCGTTGTGGGTTGTGTTTTATCCTGGTGTGTTTGACTTTTAGAGATAGTAGGGTGTTTGAGTGGATAAATGCTGGCTGTGAAGGCCACAGATTATTTCCCAGTCTGGTTTGATTCTTGTTTGTTGGGATACATGGAGAAGGGAAAGGCGTCTGTCTCCTTTCTGGAGTCATCTCAGGTCATTGTTTGGTTTCTGTCAAGTGTCATTTTCTGTTCTTTAAATGTTGTTGGTCCACATTTTTCAGCGAAGGCATTGTGGTGCAGAGGAAAGATGAATTCCATTCCAGTGTGATGTGTGTACTGATTTCATAATGTTTTCACCCTGCATGATTCTGTTTAAGAATTACTCACTGTTGAGAACGTTTAATGTTCATGGAAAACCTGGCTCCTTTGGACTCACGTGCCCTGGTGATTGACCGAGGGGGAAGTTTGGCTGTTTTGCCTGCTTCAAGGTAGAATTCAGTGCTCGATCTCTCAATATCTCTATCTTCACTGAATACTCAGCTCAAATTCCTTTCTAATTTTAGGTTTGTTTTTCTTGATGGTCTGTACTTGTTTCTGTCCTGAGACCAAGTAAGTTATTCATTACCTGCATCTTTAAGCTGTTTGACAGTTAAGCCAAAGAAAGCCATAGCATGTGCTCTTGTTGTACAAAGTAGCAAGTAGAGGCCACAGTGTCACTTACATGTGACAGTGCTTGGTGAATTTGGTGGTTTCTTAGACACAAAGAGATGCCTGGACTCATCCAGGTGTGCTTTTACTCAATGCATTTCACAAAGGGAGGACCTGGAAAAGCTCTGAATTGGTTGTGACTTAAAAGTAGTTACTGGAGGGCTGGAGAGCTGGTGCAGCTGTTAAAGGCTCAGGCTCACAACCAAAAAGACAAAAGTAGTTACTGGTGCTGTGTGTGAATTTTCTTTTCCTTCTCGCACTCTTTTTTTTTTTTTTTTTTTTTTAATAAAAGATGCAGTTGTTAAAGATGAATGAATTTAAGATGTCCTTCCTTGTGGAGATTGTTTTTAAAGCCATTTCTGGTAACACTGGATACCTCTTTGTTGCTTTAGGTTTTTATTTTGCCTCATGTCATTGAAGCTGAAATTTTATTCTTGATGTATTTTGTATTTTACAACTCTGGTGGTTTGCATGCATCCCTGAAAGATCACATTGCTAAAATATAAACCCTTACATACATAGTATAGGTTACAGATTTCCTCAGAACACAGGGTGGCAAAATATTGTCACCTGGTAATGGGAACCTGGTAAGAAATGGATTGAAGGATAGTGACTCTGCTTTTCTTTCTTTTGGTCTTTTTGAGACCGGGTCTCCCTGTAGCCCCAGCTGGCCTGGAACTTACTATGTTGACCAGGCTGGCCTTGAACTCATAGAGATCCTCCTCCTGCCTCTGCCTCCCAAGTGCTGGGACTACAGGCATGCACCACCACGCCTAGCCGTGACTCTGCTTTTCTAACCAGAGAGAATGTGGGAATTTGTGTTGAATGTGAGTGGTCATCATGCATTAGTTGATGGCATTGAAGCCTTGAGGCTGGAGTGCAGGGCTGGAGTTGTTTTCTCTGTGGCTTGAATAGCTCTCTACTTCCTCAAAATATAGGTACAGTTGTTGGCCTCAAATTAATAAGCTTAAGCAGTATTTTAAATAATGTAAAGATTGTAGAGTTGCATGGTCAGGTACCCTTCACTTATACTGAGTGTTCAAGTGACGAATCAGAAATGAAGTGTTTGCAACAAAGGGTTTGAATAGAAACTTAACAGCCATTTAGGCAGGCATCAGTTTTATGTGGCAGGACCCAGGAGGCTAGCTGAAGGAGAAATGGCCACTCTGACTGTAAATAGTCAGAGAGTGGTGCCTTACAGAGTGTGGGCTGGGTTGGTGAGGACTGGAAGGAGAAAAATCCAAACCTGAAGAGTTCTAGCAGCTCTGGGAGAAACATGCCGAGAGAGCTGTCCTGACGTAAGCCAGCGTGGGGCTTGTAGCTGGTGAAATTGGAACTTCAAAATATTTGTCTTGAGATCTCATCTCAGCTTCCTAGTTTGAGGTTGAGACACACTCTGTTGAAAATCTTGACAGTGGTCAGTGTTTTCTGGGTGACAAATAACTGACATTTTCATTAGACTGCGTAGATCCTCTCCACAGACTGTCCATTCACAGAAAGTCAGCTGAAGTTTTTCAGAGGGCTATTGGGTCCCCATGAAACCCCAGTAGATTGAAACTGTCCCCTGTCAGGTAATTTCAGGGTAAATGACTTTGAATTCAGGTGCCCAGATAGTTGTGAATTAAGTGGAAGCTATTTTGTCATTCGTGTTACATACACAGTGTTCTGTTTACACGGAGAGACTTCAGGGTGTGATTCTTCTCTGGGCTGCTGACACTTATGGGGAGTCGTATTACTTTTGGGGCGGCCAGTTTAGTTAAGAAAGAGACAGTGCATTTTTTACAGGAACTAAATTAGGTAGAGACCTGCGTCAACCAGAAGATGACTTGTGTCCTCAGTTACTTGGTCATAAATGGTCTCTCTAAATATTCTGTTGTTTTTTGGGGGGTTATAATTCCCTCCCCCGCCCTGTTGATTTTCACTTTACCTTATAGGCTACAACCCATAGAGTTTTCTGTTTTGTTTTTTTAAAACTATTTTACTTTTTATTTATTTTTATGTGTATGAGTATATTGCCTGCATGTGTGTAAGTGTACCCATGTCGTGCAATTCCCATGAAGGTCAGAAGAGGCCGTGGGATCCCCTGGAACTGGAATTATAGATGGTTGTTAGCTACCATGTGGGTTCTGGGACTTGAACCTGGGTCCTCTGCAAGAGCAGCTATTGCTCTTAACTCCTGAGCCATCTCTCCAGCCCCTTCTTGTCTTCTTTTTGCCTCTCTGCTAAACTAGATTTGGATAGTAATAGTATCCATTTCTTGAATGTCTGCTGTTCTAGAAATCATACATGTAGTTCTCCTAAAAAGTCTAATAAGGTAGGTATTGTTTCTCTCTCTCTTTTTTTTTTTTTTTTGTCTTTTTGAGACAGGCAGGGTCTCCCTGTAGCCCCAGCTCACCTGGAACTCTATGTAGACCAGGCTGGCCTAAAACTCACAAAGATCTCCCTGCCTCTGCCTCCCAAGTGCTGGGATTAAAGGTGTGTGCCACCATACCTGGCTATCATTTCTGTTTTATCGATGAGGGTATTGATGTGCTGCAAAGTTAGAGCTGTTTCCAAGGTCATTTACCCTACTGAGTAGTGGTGTGTGACAGGCGAAGTTCCCGGTGCCTTTCTTGCTTCTCTGGGCTGCTGACCCAGTCTGCATGGGGGACTGGGAGGAAGACTAAATGAATATCTCTTGTATTTGAGGGGAAAGTCTTGTGTACAGAAGAGCAGCTCTGTGGAGCAATGTAGAACACGGTGACACTGTACCTTGTTTTAATTAGTTCACAGCCACGTACTGCTGGACAAGTAGGTTATCTTCACTTCACTGAGCCTTAGAGCAAGGCCCTCCATGGTGGATTTATAGCGCGTTTTTGTTCAAAAGTCAGGAAGGCCTCCAGTAAAATACCATTATAACTAGCAGTGGGAATTGGGAAGCTGCTGTGGTGACAGGCAGTTTCTCTATTCCTAAGCCCCACCATCAAGAAGGTGTCAGATCTTGAATGCCCAGGCTCATGTGGGAGGGAGAAAGTGAGGCATATGCCTGATGGAGTTGAAGAAGGGAGACCCTTTCCTACCTACCTTTCTGTTGACTAGGTTACAGGTGAGGTATTTTTTTTTTTTCAAACTGTGGAACTTGAAACGACCTAACCACTAGTATTGGTTGCTGTTCCATGTTGGTGGTCCTAGTCACTTTTTTTTTTTTTTTTTTTGTCTTTTTTGAGGCAGGGTCTCCTTGTAGCCCCAGCTGTCCTGGAACTCACTGTGTAGACCAGGCTGGCCTCGAACTCACAAAGATCCACCTGCCTCTGCCTCCCGAGTGCTGGGATTAAAGGTGTGCGCCACCACGCCCGGCGGTCCTGGTCAGTTTTAAGAAGCTAATTGTTTACAAATTGTTTGAGAAATCTTGTTTT